TCCAAATGCTCCGGATGGATCCCACCAAACATCCCAAACCTGCTCCAGATGGATCCCACCCAACATCCCAACCTGCTCCAGACAGATCCCACCAAACATCCCAAAGGATGGATCCCACCAAACATCCCAACCTGCTCCGGATGGATCCCACCAAACATCCCAAACCTGCTCCAGATGGATCCCACCAAACATCCCAAAGGATGGATCCCACCAAACATCACAACCTGCTCTGGATGGATCCCACCAAACATCCCAAACCTGCTCCAGATGGATCCCACCAAACATCACAACCTGCTCTGGATGGATCCCACCAAACATCCCAAACCTGCTCCAGATGGATCCCACCAAACATCCCAAACCTGCTCCAGACAGATCCCACCCAACATCCCAACCTGCTCCAGACAGATCCCACCAAACATCCCAAAACTGTTCCAGACAGATCCCACCAAACGTCCCAAAGGATGGATCCCACCCAACATCCCAAAGGATGGATCCCACCAAACATCCCAAACCTGTTCCAGACAGATCCCACCAAACATCCCAAACCTGCTCCGGATGGATCCCACCCAACATCCCAAACCTGCTCCAGATGGATCCCACCAAACGTCCCAAACCTGCTCCAGATGGATCCCACCAAACGTCCCAAACCTGCTCCAGATGGATCCCACCAAACATCCCAAACGTGCTCCAGATGGATCCCACCCAACATCCCAAAGGATGGGTCCCACCCAACATCCCAAGCCTGGAGCAGAGAACTCCTCTTCTGAAGAGCAACGGGCCCTCAAAGCTTGTTGTCCAGCCTAGAGCAGAGCCTGGGGCAGCAGGGGGGGTCCTACCTCGGGGGCTCAGGGCCCGGGGCGAGCGGAACAGGAACAGGGCCAGCAGGCTGACGGGCTCCTTGGGCTCCAGGCCTGCCAGAACAGAGCTGGGTGAGCAACCAGGGCTGGGTGAGCAACCAGGGCTGGGTGAGCAACCAGGGCTGGGTGAGCAACCAGGGCTGGGTGAGGAACCAGGGCTGGCTGAGGAACCAGGGCTGGGTGAGCAACCAGGGCTGGGTGAGGAACCAGGGCTGGGTGAGCAACCAGGGCTGGGTGAGCAACCAGGGCTGGGTGAGCAACCAGGGCTGGGTGAGCAACCAGGGCTGGGTGAGCAACCAGGGCTGGGTGAGGAACCAGGGCTGGGTGAGGAACCAGGGCTGGGTGAGCAACCAGGGCTGGGTGAGGAACCAGGCTTGGGGTGAGGAACCAGGGCTGGGTGAGGAACCAGGGCTGGCTGAGGAACCAGGGCTGGGTGAGGAACCAGGGCTGGGTGAGGAACCAGGGCTGGGTGAGGAACCAGGCTTGGGGTGAGGAACCAGGGCTGGGTGAG